CAGACCACCCCGTATTGAGGTTAGTGAAATGCCCACAGTGATCCACAAGTGCCTGCAACACCACGGAGAAGTACCCCTTACTATTGATGTACTCCGTCACAAGGTTGTATGGTGCCAATGTTATACCAATAAATTAAAAACCAGCAGGATCTTATTAAAGAGGAAAAGGCAAAATACCACATTTATTGTGAATACAGAAAGAATCATAGTAAGCAGTTATAGCTATAACATTCCATTCAGTCTCATATTTATTCACACATTCATTCATACAAATACACACACACAGGTTCTGCAAGGTTGTTATCATAGTTACCAGCCTTAGAGTTGCTCATGCCAAGCCACTGGCCAGGTGACCTGGACATGAGGAGGGAGCAAGGCCTTGTCAGATGCTCATCTGATGCTCCTGGAAGTTGGTTTGCAGAATCAGACCCCAAAGTTCTCGCTTTCTAGAGTCCATTTTTATAGGAATTTCTTCCTATGCCAGTCTATGGGAATTGCTTCATCATGCTGTTGCTGAATCAATCAGCAGATAGCACATTCCTGACGGCTCCATGCTGCCAGATGTTATCTTGTTCTTTGGTTCTCCCATTCTTGAGGCTGTTGGGTGGATTCCAGTCTGCCCTCCGGGAGGTCCTCTCATTATTTTCACTTGACGCCTTCTTCAGCCAATGGACACTGGATTCTTAGGCTGGCACCTCCCTGATCATTCAGTTATTATCCACACCAAGCATCCATCCACATACATCCTCTATCTCTATTTTAATCACAATTGTTAATACAACAAAAGGGCAGGGAGTCTCTGGGTGCTGTTTCTGTTGCTACAGAGTATTGCTTTGAGTCTCTCTCTTTGTGAATTGCTTTGAGAACAGACTCTGTCTTAGAATGTACTAAGGCAACTAGCAGCTTGCAAGTTTCACACAGAGGGAGAGAAACAGTACCAAAAACCAAGAGACCTCTTAATTAATAATACCCTGGAATTTAAACTATGGGGAATCAAACTCATTTGTGATTTTAATACAGAACTTCTTTAATATGATCCAACACCAAAACTGGAAAGTGTGCACCATCTATTGCTCCTCCACAATTAGGGAAAGCCATCTGCTATTTCACATGCCAAGAGTCACGGTCTTTCATAGCAGGATGCAATTAATGGCCTTGCATGCTCCTGTTAACGCAGCCCCAACGGTTGACTGCCCAACTCCAAATTGATTTGCAAACAACTGGTAGCAATCTGGAGTCGCTAGCTTCCACACACTGATCACCATGCGCTTCTCCACTGAGAGCAGCTCTCATTTGGGTATCCCTGCGCCACAGGGCTGGGGCGAACTCAGCACACAGTTCCAGGAAGGTGACTTTCCTCACCCAAAAGTTCTGCAGTCATCCCAGACTTGCATAACGATGCCATCCTGCCACTCAGTGCTGAGTTCCCATGCCCAAAAGCGACAGTCCACGTGTTCAGTGTTTCCGTGAATGCCAAAAGTTATGTGTATTGCTTCTATTCATGGCACACAGCAGGTCAGGCAACCGTGAATCCTGCTCAGATTGGAACTTCACGATTAACTGCACTGCCGTTCGCAATGTGCTACTGACAGCTAGAAGAGCATCTGATAGCAGTGCAGGATCCATTCTTTCAGACAGGTGGCAGAGCGAGCAGAAAACAAGCAACACTGAAAAATGCCTTGAGCCAAAGACAGAAGCACATGGAATGCTGGGATGGAAAGCAGTGCATCATGGGACACTGAGCCCAGACTCATGATGTGCTGTGATCCACTCCGCCTTTCCACAAGACCTAGCGGCAGAAGGCGGACAGCTGAACTGTGGGATAGCTACCCATAGTGCATTACTCTCACTGTTGATGCTACTGCCCCAAGTGTGGATGCGCTCTGCTGACAGAGGAAGACAGTGTGAACATTCAACAATGATTTTCTTTTAGCACATTTTTGATCGTCAACCAAACTTTCAGTAAAAAAAACTGTCAGTGTAGACATGGCCTAAGTTTGACTCTCACATTGCAGTATTTTTCTGGATATCATTCTCTTTGGGCTTATCTAGATGCTCACAATATAAGTTACACAGTGAGGAAACGGAAAAAAAAATATGCACTATATAATTAACATGCTAAATTCATTGCTGAAAGGCATTACATGGCAAACAGCCTAATGCAATTCACAAACGGGAATTCACAGTTACAGCCACTAGAGACAACAGTACCTGGACTGCACTATGCCTCAAAGCATGTTGGTTAGTAATTACAATTGGGGGGGGGAGGGACATTAAAAATATTGCCAATCATGGTGTAACACTGCACTACACAATTGGCTGGACAGATTAGGAACGATTTAATTCCAAGTGTCCTATCACCCTAGGATTATGGGAAAGGCAAAGAGGAGTGCTTACATGAATTTAGGACAAAGTTTTCTTGCTTGGGTATCTAAAGTTAAACACCTAAAGCAGTGGTATCCAACCTTCTTAGCTTGGAGCCAAACATTTTATTTCAAACAGGTCAGGTGCCACATAATAATTTAGGGGAAAGTCTGTCCCATTACACTTACTTTGCAGACCTAGGGGAACTGGAACCACCCACAAATACCTAAGATTAGGGAAATTCCAAGCATGCATAGAGCCAGCGCAGCAAGTTTCAACATCTCCCTTCCCACAACCCTGGGTGCAAGGCTAGGGGGAGCGTGTCATACTCTGGCTATTCCTAGCTGACCCGCGGTCCACTGGGGAAATACCCAGTGAGCACAAGTTACAGCAACTCAGAGACCTATAAATACATCCGATGAAGCGGGTTCTAGCCCACAAAAGCTTATGCCCAAATAAATCTGTTAATCTGTAAGGTGCCATCGGACTCCTTGTTGTTTTTGTGGATACAGACTAACAGGGCTACCCCCTGATACTTGAGACCTATAAATAACCACTTATTGGTCTAAAACAAGTGCTTAGACTTTTAAATGTTGTCAAGGTTCCTCCCCCACTCTGAACTCTAGGGTATAGATGTGGGGACCTGCATGAAAAACCTCCTAAGCTTATCTTTACCAGCTTAGGTCAAAACTTCCCCAAGGTATAAAATATTCCACCCTTTGTCCTTGGATTGGCCGCTACCACCACCAAACTAATACTGGTTACTGGGGAAGAGCTGTTTGGACGCGTCTTTCCCCCCAAAATACTTCCCAAAACCTTACACCCCACTTCCTGGACAAGGTTTGGTAAAAAGCCTCACCAATTTGCCTAGGTGACTACAGACCCAGACCCTTGGATCTTAAGAACAATGAACAATCCTCCCAACACTTGTACCCCTCCTTTTCTGGGAAATGTTGGATAAAAAGCCTCACCAATTTGCATAGGTGACCACAGACCCAAACCCTTGGATCTGAGAACAATGAAAAAGCATTCAGTTTTCTTACAAGAAGACTTTTAATAAAAATAGTAGTAAACAGAAATAAAGAAATCCCCCCTGTAAAATCAGGATGGTAGATACCTTACAGGGTAATCAGATTCAAAAACATAGAGAACCCCTCTAGGCAAAACCTTAAGTTACAAAAAAGATACACAGACAGAAATAGTTATTCTATTCAGCACAGATCTTTTCTCAGCCATTTAAAGAAATCATAATCTAACATGTACCTAGCTAGATTACTTACTAAAAGTTCTAAGACTCCATTCCTGGTCTATCCCCGACAAAGACAGACTATAGACAGACACACAGACCCTTTGTTTCTCTCCCTCCTCCCAGCTTTTGAAAGTATCTTGTCTCCTCCTCATTGGTCATTCTGGTCAGGTGCCAGCGAGGTTACCTTTAGCTTCTTAACCCTTTACAGGTGAGAGGAGCTTTCCCCTGGCCAGGAGGGATTTCAAAGGGGTTTACCCTTCCCTTTATATTTATGACAAATGTCAACGTGTGTGTCTAATATGAATACAGGTTTGGAACCATGGCCCACAAGATCTTTCAGAAGTGTTTTAAACCCAACTGAACATAATTAAACCACAAGTCTTATCCCCTTAAGCAACCATACAAGAGATTTTCATTCCTGAACCCAAAACATCAATACATTTCTTGCTTAGAGCCAGCCCAGGTGGCAGCCCCCAACACATTGCTCTCACTTCTCCAACTAATCTATCCAGTCCTGTATTTCTCGGTTGTACTTTTAAATGGGGGTCACTGCATAGGTGGTTTGTTAAATGTGTAATCTGAGATTTCACTCAATTTAATAAATTCACCAGAAACAAGATATGGCAGATATGGTAAAGAAGCTTACTCTGCAATAGGGCAACATGCAGTTAAATAGAGTGATCTGATGATTACAGTACTGTATAATGCTAACTAACAAATCCTCACTGTTGTAATGATTGTTTAGTCCCCAATACTGACACAGCAAAAATTTGTGGGACCTGCTGAAGCTTCCTAAATATTTAAAAATGCATCCATAACTGAGGTCACACTTTCTGCTCACTCTCTTACAGTGAGTCCCTCAAATGCCAACCATGACCCAGAATCCTATGCACCAGCAGCAGGCGCGTTCAAATCTGGGGCCTTGGCAGCTAATCAGAAGGCTCTGGAGCACATTTAAGAGCCAAAAACAAACCCACGCCAGACGAGAAGAGGGGCACGTCCACGTAATCAGCGAGGCGCCGGGAGGGACGCAAAGGGCTACAGTAACAACATAAGGATAACAAGTGGGTATGTAGAAGTTGTGCGGCCAGCAGAGAACAGCCCAGGACTGAGCTGGGGGCAAGCTTTAGGCAGGACACCCACCCCACGTCCTTTCACAGTTACCCTGTGAGCAGCGCCCACAGGGGGAGACTCTACCGCTGAGCCCAGCACACCCTAACCTACAGCTACAGTCACACACGAGACCCCAGCGTCCCCAAGCACAGGGCCGCCCACCCGGCTGCGCCCCGGCCCTTGGCCCAAGCCGAGATTACCCCCCGGCCGGCTGCCGCCCCGACCCGCGCAGCGCCGCCCTGCCGGGCCCCCGCCGCCGGACCCCCGCCAGTACCTGGGCCCCCCGCCAGCAGCCGGATGACGCCGCGGGTGCGGAAGAGCTCGCGGGCGGCCAGCAGCGCGTCCCCGCCGTGCACCGTGTAGTGCTCGCCGCGCTCGAAGAAGCGCACGGTGGTGTCGGGCTTGTCGGGCAGCGCCAGCACCGCGCGCACGAACCCGCCCTCGGCGCCCGAGCCCTCCGGCCACAGCGACTCCCCCGCGGAGACAGGCGCCGCCGCCGCCATGCTGCAATCTCCCGCCAGCGCCGCCCCCGGTCACCGCCCGGCTCCGCCAATCACCGCGCGGCCGGCACGTACGGCGCCCGCGTGCCGCGTTCTATCCCCGCCCCTATCCCCGGGCGGGCGGCGCTCCCGCCCATCGCTGTGCTGCGCGGCCGCGCTGCGATCAAAGGGGAGGAGCCCTGGCCTGCTCCGTGCCATCCTGCGGCAACCGCCGGGGGCGGGGCTGGCTCCCGCAGGGAGGGTTTTGCCGGGTCCGTAGGGCGGGGGAGCCGCCCGGGGCGCTCGGGTTGGCCCTGCCCCCAGCCTGGTTATCCCCGATCCCTCTCCGCCCGCGGTCCCGCCGGCCCTGCTGCCATAGAACCACCTTCTCGCCAAGTGTTGCCCAGCCCCCGGCAAGCCGAGGGCTCCCGTTTGTGCCCAGGAGATCCTTTCGTGCCTGGCACCCCCACTTCCTGGGACCCGGGAGACCTCGGCTCAACTCCCCTGGCTGGGGGGGAGCCCATAGTGCCAAGCCCAAGCATTCCAAAATCAAGAGAGGTTTAAATAATAATAAGTGTTACGGTCTTTTAATTTGACTTCTGGTTTTTTTAAGGCTTTTTTTTCCCTCCAGGTGTTGCACCACAACCATGAAGATGAGAAATGTACATTTATTTTCAATGAAAACTTCCCGAAAACTTCAGGAGCTGGAGTTTTTAAAAGAACACTTAATACTGCAAGACTGGCTGCAAAACTCACAAGAGTTGGCAACGGAAGGGAATGTCTGCTGCAAAACAGCCAGCAGCAAAAGCTAACATGGCCATAGCCAGTATCACCATGCTGCAGATGTACCGGGTGATGGGAGTACCAGTACATGCTGCATTGATCTTGAATCAGATTTGAGAGCAATCGTAAGCTCATGCTGAGGTATATTCTAATATTTATATCTAAACCAGTGACCCATATCCTTTATCAGTAGGGTGTACTTTGCCCATATTACAACAGTAACCATGCACAGGGTCATACTCATACCCTGTGTATAAATACATAATTTTATACAGGGTGCAAGTTTGCATCATAAATAAACTAATACAGATGCTGTCTTGTAAAAGTAAGCTTTGTCTTCTATTTCTTCAAACATACATGGTCACCTGTCTGCCCAGTGATGCACCTTTGTAAGACAGGCATGGGCACCTTGTCCCTCTAGGGCAGTGGTTTTCAAACTTTTTTTCTTGCGACCCAGTTGAAGAAAATTGTTGATGCTCACCACCCAACGGAGCTGGGGATGAGGGGTTTGGGGTGTGGGAGGGGCTCAGGGCTGAGGCAGAGGATTGGGGTGTGAGGGTGAGGGCTGCAAGGTGGGGCCAGGAATGAGGGGTTCAGGTTGTGGGAGGGGGCTTTGGGCTGGGGCAGGGGACTGGGGGTGCAGGCTCGGGGCTGGGGATGAAGGGTTTGGGGTTCAGGAAGGGGCTCTGGGTTTAAGGGGAGGCAGGGGATTGGGGCGCGAGCTTACCTCAGGCAGCTCCTGGTCAGCGGCGCAGTGGGAGAGCAAAGGCAGGCTTCCTGCCTGTCCTGGCACTGCTGACTGCGCTGTGTCCTGGAAGCAACCAGCAGCAGGTCCGGCTCCTAGTGCAGAGCTGGTGCTCGGGGCGGGGGCAGCTCATGGAGCCCGTGGTCCCCCTACCTAGGAGCCGGACCTGCTGCTGGTGCTGACCAGAGCCGCCGCGACCCAGTGCCTTACATTCCACGACTCAGTACTGGGTCGTGGCCCACAGTTTGAAAACCACTGCCCTAGAGGGACAAGGTGCCCATGCCTGTCTTACAAAGGTGCATCACTGCATGACAGAGATTGCACTACAGTACTTGTATTAGGTGAATTGAAAAATAGTATCTTTTGTATTTTTACAGTGCAAATATTTGTAATAAAAATAATAATATAAAGTGAGCACTGTACATGTTGTATTGTGTTTTAATTGAAATCAATATATTTGAAAATGTAGAAAATATCCAAAACTATTTAAATAAATGGTATTCTATTATTAACAGTGTGGTTAATCATGTGATTAATTTTTTTAATCACTTGACAACCCTATTTTTCCCTAATATTAGTTTTTGCATTTAAAACGTAGCTGTATGCTCTTGTTGGAAGAGACCCAACCCCTTTCCTTTCCAGTAATAATAATACATAGCATGTATATAATGTATCACACATTTAAAGTATGGTATGGTATATTGCTACTTATTCCTCACAGCTCCCTGTGAGATAGATGGATAAGTAGTATTATCCCCATTTTACAGATTTGGGAATCTGAGGCAGAAAGATGAAGTCACTTGTCCAAGGTCACACAGTGTGACAGTGACAGACTTCTTAGAAAGGAACATGGGTATAACCTACCTTGGAAAATATTTGAAAATATGGTGCATACAAAATGCTGTCTTCCAAAGACAAACAAATATGCTCTTTAGAAGTAATCTAAATTGTATTAAGGCCCTCTTCCCTAATTATCTTCCTCACAGACACAACATAAGAGAGAAACCCTTCAGATCATATGCATTAGGAATTTTTGTCTCATAAGTGTAAAATGAGAAACAGGCCTTAGTGCGTTTTTTGTAAAACCTTTTGATATTAATATGGTTATTATTAACAGGGTCAAGCATGATGAGATTGGTAAAGTGAATGAATAGCTTTCATTGTGAGCCATGATTTATCAATTTCTGTTTCTACATATAGTGGACTCTGATCACCACACCCTGCAGCAGTACTAGACTCTTGACTGCTTGATGTATTAAAAAAACCACCTCTAAGAGAATAATATCAGTGCTAGCAATTCATTCGATGCAAGCTAATGGGTGATGTTTATCTTGTTTAACTTTAGAGCCTACAAGCCACTCAGTCCTATTTCTTGTTCATCCAGTCGCTCAGACAGACAAGTTTGTTTACATTTGCAGGAGATAATGCTGACCGCTTCTTGTTTACTATGTCACCTGAAAGTAAGAACAGGTGTTCGCATGGCACTGTTGTAGCCAGCATTGCAAGGTATTTATGTACCAGATACACTAAAGATTTATATGTCCCTTCATGCTTCAACCACCATTCTAGAGGACATACATCCATGCCAATGACAGGTTCTGCTCGATAAGGATTCAAAGCAGTGATGATATTCAAAGCCGTGCTTCAAAGCGGTGATGATATTTATTTAAAAGGTGATATAATATATTGCTTGAAATCTAATAACACACTGGTCAATATTTGTAATAGCTCTGTAGGTGAAATTATGGATTCTCTCTGATATTATGTCCTGAAGACTGTAAACAGACAAAGGTGATAAAAAAGGAAAAGAGGAAAGAAAATATGGTGGCAAATGCCCTGTTCAGGAACAAGGGCTGTAACTTGTTGCTTCTGGATCAGCCAGTGGTTAACCATCCTACAGTTCTGTAAGCCCCTACACCCCAGGAAAGAGGGATGCTCAACTAAGAAACTGTTTAGTACACTGGTGATGATGCAGTTGTGAGCTGACTTCACTTTTTGCTTGGTAACATTTCTGGACTAAGCCCCTATTGCCCTTCTAAGGGGTTAAGATTGTAAGAGCACTTGGTGGACACAGGGAACAGAAACTTTCTCCACCCACTGCTGGGGAGACTTTCGGCCACTTCAGGACACTGGAAAGGTCCATCAAGGGCACTACTCCAGCCATGCCATTACAAAATTGTTGGAGAATGCAGGTGACAACCTACTCCCTGGGCAACGTCATGATCTATAGTCAGAGCTAGGAAGACTACCTAGAACATGTAAGTGCTGTATTACAACCCCTCAAGGTGGCTGGTCTGAGAGTGAACCCCGCTAAATATCACCTGGGCAAGAATGAGACTACCTACCTCAGGTACACACTGGAAAAAGGCAAGATGCAAACCTTGGTGGCTAAGATCCAGGCCCTCCAGATGTGCTCCATGCCCAATTCAAAGAAACAGGTAAGCCACTTCTTAGGACTGGCAGGATACTACCAATGGTTTATTCCCAGATTTTTGACAGATTACAGCCCCTGTTATGGATCACCTTAAAAATAATAGCCCAAAGAAGATCCAGTAGTTGAAGGCTTGTGACGAGGCTTTTCAAACCCTTAAGGCCCACCTCTGCCAAGAACCAGTCTTGTATAACCCTGAATTCACCAGAGAATTCCTGCTACAGTCTGATGCCTCTGATGTGGGATTAAAAACCATTTATTCCAGGTGGTGGAAGGAAATGAACATCCTATCCTCTACCTTTGTTGAAAGTTATTTCCAAGGGAGAGGGTTTATTCTGTAATTTAAAAAAGAGAGGCATTGGCAGTGTAATGGGACTACGTTTTGGGTGGTCACGTCACCTTAGTCACCGACCATGCCCCACTATATTGGCTGTACACCATGAAGGAAACCAACCTCGTAATTATGCAGTGTTACCTGTCCCTCTCCTTCTGCATCCATCACATGGCTGGAAGAACCCACCTGAATGCTGATTTTTTTCATGAGGTGGGGAAGACCCAATGGGGGAGGGGCTTACCACAAATGGGGGTGTGTGGGGATGTGTGATGGAGCAGAGAAGTCTCACACCAACAGAGGAGATGTTGAAGAGAGCCTTTGGGCCCCGCTAGCCCCACGCTGCTATACGTGCAGCCAATGACAAGCCTAGAGGTGGAATAAAAGGAGATAACCTGGCTCAGTTCAGGGCTGATACCTAAGGACTGGAAACATGCAATTACTGTCCCAGTGAGAAAACAGAATAAGTTGTGCTCAAGACTTTGAGGCATACAGAACAATTTCCCTCACAGCATGTTTAGGTAAAACCATGGAAAGATTGGTAATGGAGAGATTATTAGCACACCTAGCAAGAAATACGTTCATAGATGGAACACAAAGTGGGTTCAGAAGGAGTGCAATTGTCCACATTGTCAGGAAAGAGCTAGAAACACAAAAAAGCGTGAGAACCAAAGAATTCATGATAGTAACCTTCGTGGACATAGAAAAAAACCTATGATGCGATATAGAGAGAGGGACTAAAGTTAACTCCATGGCTATTAAAGGAAAAATG